TGGGCTTCTCCAGTGAGCAGGGCAGAAGCAGCTGTCTTCTGTGTGGGGAGAGGGATTTCCTATCAGGCGTGGAAAGAAAGAAAACCCAGAGACGGGAAGGTGGGGTAGGGGCAGGCCTCTGAGTGCCCCAGTAGGGAGCATTCCAGGTTAAGAACAGGTGCCAAGGCCCAGTGGTCAGGGATGGGTGAACAGGCCCTGTGTGCCAAGAGGAAGGGTTTGAATGTGATTCCTGGTATGGGAGCTGGGGCAGGGAGGATGTCCTGGCCACCTGGAGTGTGCCCAGCCCTTCCCTGGGCTGGCAGTTGGTGAAAGGGGCCCCGGAGAGGTGCCTTCCTGGAAGCTGTTCCTGCTGTGGGCCCAGTGCCTGCCATGCGAGCCTGGGCCTGGCCTGCAGTGCCCCCTGGTGGCTGCCTGAGGGGCCCTGAGCTCCCCCAGGCCGCTGGGGGGGGCTCCTGGCTCAGCCCACTCCTTGTGCCTTGCCTCCAGGGGAAGGAAGAGTTTGAGAAGACCCAGAAGGAGCTGCTGGAAAAGGGCAACATCATGCGGCAGGGGAAGGGTCAGCTCGAGCTGCAGCAGGTGAGGATGCCCAGGGTCACTGGCTTCCCTGGGCTCGGGCCACCAGTGAGCCCAGCACCCTACCCCCAACCCCACAGCCCTCCCTGCTCAACCGCCGGACTGTCAACATGAGTGTTGGATTTCTGTGTGAGTTATCAGAGTGATTATGGCAGACATTTTGGGGAACACACAGAGAAAAGTGTAAAAAGGCAGGAAACAAGGCCCCAAGGCAGTGGGGGTGCCCTGGGGCTAGTTTGCAGCCCTGCTCCTGGTCCGGAAGGGCCTGTCTGTGTGTGTTTTCGATGGTTCTACATCTGCTTTTATCTCGAAATTGCTCCATGGCGTTAAACATTCCTCCTCAGTTGTTCTTAAAGGCCACATGACATCTTACTGTTGAGTGTTTACGTTGTACCCACTTTCCCTGATTATGATTGTACTGCTGGGCTTACCTGCAGATGTAGAATTTTCTTCATTCTTTGGATCATTTCCTGAGGGTAGGAAAGGGATTTTTTTTTTCTTTTTAAGAAATGAGGTATTTTATTCTGATTATGAAGATAAAAAATTAAAATACAGACTAGCACAAAATCAGCACAGAAACACCACCCACCAAGTTTTCTGTACCCCCCTCGCCCCGGGCACAAGGAAGGATGGCAGAGGCCAGGAGAGCTTGCTGGCTCCACCCTGACCCCCACAAAGCCACCATTTGCCCAGCGGTAAGGTGGGGATCATAGTGGGTCCATCTCAGGGTCAGTGGGAGAATTGATTAAAGAATGTGTCATACTGAGGAGCTGCCTAGCCCACAGAACATACTCAGTAAAGGAGTAAAGGTTCATAATTAGATGTATCTCCACCCATCCATCCATCCATCATCTGCCCTTCTCACGTATGGAATCTCCACTGATTTAAGAAATGGACACGTGCTTTATCCTCTGTATCTTCTCTGGACTCTGCCAGCACCCCTGTTGGTGGGACATTTCGGTTATTCCCAGAAGTACTTCTGTAAACAGTGCTGCGCTAAATACAAATCTCTTCACCTGACTGCTTGATCATTGAGGTAAATTCCTAGAAGCTGGAAGAGACAGGAATATACCTGGAAAACTCTATTAGGATCTAGTGCTCTTCGACCAGGGACAGAACGTGCCTTTGCAGTCCAGGCTCATAAAATGTGTGGACGCGCGTGTCGATTCCTTCATTTCCACATCAGTGAAAAATCGGGAACCCCCTGCCCCACATGTCTACTATGAGAATATTGGTTGAATAAATAAAATACAAATGTTAGTAGAGTAGAATATTAGGTGGCTATTAAGAATTGCCAAAGAATGGAAAAGACCCCCCAGAGTCCAAACTGAAAATGAGTGTGCTCTCTCCTCCTGGATAAGGGAGCCATATGGTGAGTCTCCCCCAGTGGCTGCCGAGTGTTTTGGGGATGAGGAAGGGGCAGTTCCATGTTGGTTTTGCTTGTTAAATGAAGGCTTGAAATCTTGGATAAAACAACCTGTCTGTCCCTGAGCCTGTGCACAGCTGGTCCCAGCCCCTCAGGCCCTGGTCTGAACCCACTCTGGGGATGGACACATCAGTCCACATGGATGACTCCCAAGGCAGGGGCTGCTGGTCATGGAGATGCTCTCTCCCCATGCGCTTACACACACTGGCCAATGTGAAGCCTGTGACCCATTATTAGGGGCTGGAAGTAGGCTATAAAACACTATATTTAGCTGACCTTTGAACAACACAGGTTTGAACTGCATGGATCCACTTATATCTGGATTTTTTTTTTTCTCAATAAATATATTGGAAAAGCATTTTGGAGACTAAGTTTGAAAAAGCTTGTGGATGAGCCACATAGCCTAGAAATACTGAAAAAATTACATGTTGTGAGAAAATAGCATTCAGTACATGTAATCTATAAAATACGTGTTCATTAGCTGTTTGTTAGTGGTAAGGCTTCCAGGTAACAGGCTAGGCTATTGATGAGTAGTCAGCTTTGTCAGAAGTCATGCAGACTTTCTACTGCACGGTGGGTTGGCGCCCATGAACCCCCATGTTTTGTGGGCACATGTACTGTTTCCAGTCTGCTGGTTAAAAAACAGGAATATTCATGTTTAAAGGAAAGCATCTTGAAGAATAGTCTCCACATTTTTATGTGAATTTGGTTTCTGAGGTTTTACAAATACCATGATTTTTTTTTTAAGATTTTAATCTTTTTTTAAGATTTAAAATACCCAATATGGGGCTCAAACCCACAACCCCGGGGCGCCTGGGTGGCTCAGTCGGTTAAGTGTCGTCTGCCTTCGGCTCAGGTCATGATCCCGGAGTCCTGGGATCGAGCCCCACATCGGGCTCCCCACTCAGCAGGAAGCCTGCTTCTCCCTCTCCCTCTCCCCCTGCTTGTGTTCCCTCTCTCGCTGTCTCTCTCTCTCTGTCAAATAAATAAAATCTTTAAAAAAATGAATAAATAAAACTCGTAACTCTGAGATCAAGAGTTGCATGCTCTATCAACTAAGCCGGCCAGGTACACCCCTGTACATTTTTTCTGTTCAAAGTTTTTATGGGAAATTGAATACCTTTATAAAATTAAGCCAGGCCCCCGGGTACCATTCACCCACCCCAACCCCTCTCAGCACAACTGCTAGTCCAGTTATCTGACACCCTTGCCCCATAAAGCATTTTGGAGCCATTATATCATTTCACCTGCAAATACCTTAGTATTTGGTTCTAAAAGATACTTGACCAGGATTGCATTCCACCAGAGGTTACTTCTGGGTACCCAGGATTCCAGCTGACAGCTGTCTTGTTTTCTGCTTGGTGTATTTGGGGGGAAAAAATTTTTTTTAAAGAATTAATTAATTAGAGAGCGAGTGGAGGGAGGGGCAGCAGGAGGGAGAGACTCCCAGGCAGACTCCGTGCTGAGCGCAGAGCTCTTTGCGGGGCTTGATCCCACGACCCCGAGATCATGACCTGAGCTGAAATCAAGAGTCGGATGCTTAACCAACGGAGCCACCCAGACGCTCGTTTGAATCTTCTTGCAACGTATAGGTTGAAGACAAATGGGTTTTTTAAACTAATTTTGAAGTATGCATAGATCCATCAGAAGGTGCAGAGAGAGCGTACCCTTCACCCCCTTTCCCACAGCAAGTGCATCCTAAGTAAGCAGAGACCGATGTCCCTAACTATGGCTCCTACCCATTTGTTCTCCATTTCCATCATCTTGTGGTTTCAGAAGTTACAAGAGTGGAATCCTATCTTTTGAGGCTATTATGGCGAGTCTCGGGGAGGCTGCGGAGGCCGCGTGTTCTGGCCGTTGCCTGGAGGTGGCTTGTGTCGTGCGCTCCCGTGGGGAGCCATCACTCTCCCCTCATGCAGTGTGGCTGTGGTTTTCACTGTGCTTTCCCTCTGCCGCAGCTGAAGCAGTTCGAGCGACTGGAGCAGGAGGTGTCCCGGCCCATAGACCACGACCTGGCCAACTGGACGCCGGCACGGCCACTGGCCCCTGGGCGGACGGGCAGCCTGGGGCCCTCAGACCGGGAGCTGCTGCTCTTCTACCTGGAGCAGTGCGAGGCCAACCTGACCACACTGACCAACGCGGTGGACGCCTTCTTCAGCGCCGTGGCCACCAACCAGCCGCCCAAGATCTTCGTGGCACACAGCAAGTTCGTCATCCTCAGCGCCCACAAGCTGGTGTTCATCGGGGACACGTTGTCGAGGCAGGCCAAGGCGGCTGACGTGCGCAGCCAGGTGACCCACTACAGCAACCTGCTGTGTGATCTCCTGCGTGGCATCGTGGCCACCACCAAGGCCGCTGCCCTGCAGTACCCGTCGCCTGCCGCTGCCCAGGACATGGTGGACAGGGTCAAGGAGTTGGGCCACAGCACCCAGCAGTTCCGCCGGGTCCTGGGCCAGCTGGCAGCTGCCTGAGAGCCGGTGACCGCAGGGATGCGGGTCAGGGGAGGAGGGCACCTGCCCTGAGAGAGTCGCCATGCTGCAGGCGCGGGGACAGGTGCCCCAGCTCTGTCCGGGCCTGGTGCCCCAGACTGTCCAGGGCTTTGTACATAGTTAGGATGGGGCAGGATATGGGACCGCGCCTCCTCAGAGGAGCCCAAGCAGAGCTGGGCCCCTGGGAGCCAAGGCTGAGGAGTGGGCTGGTTGTCTTCCCTGCATACACGGGGGGCCGGGGCCCAGGGAGCCCTGGGCCATGACCCACATGGCCTCAGAGGACCCCTTGAGCTAATCCTAGCCCCACAGGGGTGCCAGGTCCCCCGTCCCCCCACAGCACAAGCGCCACTGTACCAGGAGAAAAACTCTAAAACACTATTTTTCATTATTGGTTTTCCAATCATTTGACTAATAGTCTACATTTAAATAAAATTTTAAAAATGAAAAGCCTCTGGTGTGAGAGGTGTGAGAGCCAGGAAGGCTCATGGATGTGAGCACCTGTGTCCTTACTCTCAGATGCCATGGGGTAGGAGCTGCAGGTTGAGGCAATTCGGGCTGAGGCTGTGGGCGGCTTCCCGGGAGGGTGAAGAAAAAGTGGGTCCCTTCAGGAGAAAACCAAGGCCCTGGGACACAGGGCTGGGCCAGGGATCTTCTGCAAGGTGGGAGCAGGTCTGCCAATGGCCCCAAGACCTTGGGAGTCCAGGCTGCTGGAGAGAAGTTGAGCCGTCCTCCGACAGCAGGGCCCAAGCGCGCTGGCCGAGGAGGGGTGCGGGCCGCGGCGAGGTTGGCAGAAAGCCAGCGTGGACTGAAGCAGCTCCAGGAGCGCACTGGGCTCTCCTGGAGCCTCCGTTCCGGGGCAGAGAACCCGCCGAGGGCACCACGGAAACTCGTTTTCACAGACCTTGCCCAGAACTTGGCTCTGAGAGAGGAGCTCATTATTTCAGCTGTGGGACTTCTTCCAGAGCATCTTTTCTGGAATTACACATAGACTTGGCCTCCAAGTTGGGGTTTGGGGTTCGCCCTTGACCTGAGTCATTGTATGTCCTCCCCCGGCCTCTCGGGATATGTCCAGCGCCGTGGGGGAGGCAAGAACCCTGGGACTCAGGAAGGTGCGGCTCCTGGCGCTGTCTCTTGTGCATGTGAACTTGGGCCTCGGTCTCTCTAACTCTACGAAGAAAGGGCAGGATCTGTCAGCCCTCTTGGCTCTCAACTTTACAGCGGGGACCCCAGTGAAGGCAGCCATCCTTTCCACCACCACCACCCCCCAGCACCCTGGGGTGAGGACACAGAAGTGAAGAGGCATGTGGTTGCTCTCAGGGTTTTATCTGGGTTCTGCAGAAGGGGCGGTGGGTGGGGGTTCATTTGGTCTCCAGAACCTCGAGAACCCAGGGATTGAACTCAGTGACATGGGTATACACCCCCTGGTGAGAATGGGTGGCACCAGCTACTGCCCCAGGACACGATGCCCACCAGGGTCCAGGCTCCGTCCTTCT